TCCTTAGCGACTCTCGCTAGCCAACCTCTGTCGAAAGACGCTAACGTGGCCCTCCAAGGCCTTTGCACCCTTGTGCAAGCTGCAGTGCCAGAAGAACAGCCTGCGGCGCCAGGCACGAGTCAGTGCTGCAGCACTGCACCGCCGAATGGCGGGTGATGTTAGGGGGCATATTGTGGGAAGCCATGTCAAGAAACACCCTGCTTGCCTCCAGGATGCTCTGGGCTTCTAGGGTTTCGATGGTTTTGCTATGGAAAGCGTGACGCTCCCACACCATAATTCAATGGACGGCCTGCGGTCGCAGGGTTGGATTTCTTGTGGACTGGCCTCCATGAAAACGCACTCATGGTATCACGTATCCATGGAACGGGCCGCATCGGCACGGAGTCGAGATCGAATCGTATCGGCCGCGCCAGGATGCACTCTAACGCAACGCTGACGTCGGCTGCGGATCACCGAACCATTGGAATCGAATGGGATCGGGCCAGCCGTGATCGACATCGATATCGAATCGAACGGTAATGCATGTGTTCCAGTCTCGGACTCCCTTCTGGGAACGCGCCCCCCCTCGTGCCGCCCCCCCCCGTGGAGTCCAGTCCAGGAGGATATGGATACGGTTTCGGACTCCCTTCTGGGAAAGCGCCCCCCCTCGTGCCGCCCCCCCCCCCTGGAGTCCAGGCCGGGAGGATGTGGATGCGGGCATGGGCGTCGTCGCTGAGGGGCCACAGGTTTGCAGGCGGTCGAGGTGCCTGGGCGGAGGCCCTGCCCGTGGCGATCCCCACCGCCAGGCCAGGGCCAGCTGCGATCCCCACGCGCGCTCGGCACGGCCGCGATGCCAAGAGAGGCCGGCCTTATCGGCCGACCATCCTGCAGGTATCTCAGGAGGGGGAACAAAAACACACAGGCACAATTCATCGTCGACTCCCAGGAAAATATGGGAAGATATGGGAAGTGGGGGGGAAGACAGAAACCCAGAAAATATATGAAAATATGGGGAATCTGGTTATTTGTGTCTATTTCTTTGTGTGTCCCAGTTCCCCTTCAATCCTGCAGGTATCGGCCTCCTGTGGGCGGAGCGTTCCACCCCTCCGCCCCCCGCGAGGCTCCGGAGAAGGAGAAGCCCAAGCCCAAGGAGAAGGAGGACGGCAAGGCGGAGAAGGTGGTGAAGAAGGCCCCCGAGAAGGAGGGCAAGGCCGCCAAGGCGCAGCCTCATCGGGGTCGAGGTCGGGCCGATCGGTCCGATATGCGGCGTCGGCTCTGTGCATGGCCCGATCGGAGCTTTTCGAGCCATCCGATGCGGCCCGATGCTTTCACGGCGCGGTTTTGCATTATGGAGCGGCCGTTCTACATTTAGGTCGGGCCTGTCCTCCTACAGGGGGATTTTGGAGGAGGAAAAAATATTCCAATCATGCCCCAAAATGGCCAAACGATACTAAAGAAAATAGTCCCCAGCCTATTTTGTGATTATTGTTTTGACTATTTTTGAGTATTCCCCCTGTAGAGGGACACAGGCCCGACTTAATTCTACATGTTGGAGCAGCCGATCCGTTCCCGTTTCGACCTCGTGCCGATGCGGCCCGATCGGACGCACATTCTGATTCGAGCCCATTTTCTGGTTCGACGCTGATCGTCGGCGGCGATCGACGGAGGGGGAGGGAGGAGGAGAAGGCCCTCTCAGACGGTTCGGAAGTCCCCCCGCTTTCTGAGGAGTTTTCTTAGCCTTCCCCCGAAGACAGAACAAATTTCCTAGAAGGCGCGAGGGCTTCTGAGAAGTCCCTCCGCCTTTGATAAGTCATTTCCCCCCCTCGCTCGCCGCCGACATCGATCTTGCCTCTTCGTCTCACAGAGGGCGGGGAATCAGAACGTCACGACGAGCGCTATCTGCGCCATCCGTTGTGGGCAGAGCAAGCGGGCCAGTCGCACCGCGGCCCGCGCGGTCTCCTTCGTCGGAAGCGGCGCGCGGCCGCGAGCGGCTGTCGCGCACGGGCTCGGAGGCGTGCAGAGGCATTGTTGTGGATGTACGCGGGGCAGTGGCCAGCGGGGCCGTACATCGACAAAACGTTAGACCACTTGTGCTGCGCATGGGCACGTATACCCCAGATTTCGTAATAAAAGGGAGGGGGTCTGGACCCTCCAAGACAAGCCATTTCAGACCTCCCCCGTGGGAGAACCCTCCAGAACATCGTCCCCAGACCCCCCCAGGCCCTCCAAGATAGCCTGGAAGAGACCCCCCCGAAATGAGACCCCCCTCCCTTTATTACGAAATCTGGAGTACTGTATTGCTCCTTCCCCCTCTTCCTCCGATCTTCTCTTGACATTGGGCGCACGGCGAAGAGCCCCTGGGGCCACCCTGGGGCTCCCAACCGAATGCTGCACCACCGAGCTGTTGCGACCAGCCCAGATTGAACCCGACACTACGATTGGGGGGGAGGGGGGACGGAGAAAGATACGCTCATAGAACAGCGATGCGATGTATTGCCCGCGCCAGGTGGTACAACATTTGTTCGAGGCACCGGAGTGGTACCGTCGAGACGCTGAAGTGAGGAGTTGTGCGCGGGGAAGTGACCAGGGGGAGATGTACGTTCGAGACGCCGGAGTGAGAAGCAGCTCAGGTTCGGAAAGGGGCTCGCTCGGTTCCCGCTGGCGTGCCGTATGATTGCTTCTCTGGCGGTCCTCGTGCAAGTAAGTACCCAGGCGCCGTCGGGTCCAAGATAAGGGGGCCCTCGTGGAGCAATCCTGGGCGAAACAGGACCCTCGTCCTCCCCCTTTTCCTCCTCCTCCTCCTCCTCCTCCTCCTCCTGCCCCTCCCCCTCCTCCCCCTCCTGCCCCTCCTCCTCCTCCCCCTCATCCCCCTCCTCTTTCCCCTCCTCCTCCCCCTGATCCTCCTCCTCATCCTCCTCCTCCTCCTCCTCCTCCTCCTCCTCTTCCTCCCCCTCCTCCACCACCTCCACCTCCACCTCCACCTCCACCTCATCCTCCGACTCACTGACACATCTCGGGGCCGCACAAAAGAAAACCTCGGGGTGGGCAGGGGAGGCTGTGTCCCATCCCGAAGGGAAGATGGGTTCGGGAATAGGAGAGAGAAGACTAGTTAGGCCACTTACGCCAGAGGGCTGGTGGGATTTCTCTATCCCCTGGTGGCTCCAGTGACGCGCAGACACCCTAGGGCAGCTGCAGACCCTCAAAGGTCGACAAGGAAGGTGCCTGAAGATTTCTCACAGCACGACCCCCTATCGTACGAGTGCACCGTGCGCCTTTGGGCTTGGCGTCGCAGGGGGCACTCAGGAGCCCACCCGCCCAATGGTCGCCCCATCCTTGGCATCGCTCGGACGTGCGCATTTTTTTCTCGGCGACAACCATCGAGGACCATCCTGGACCATCGAGCAAAAAAAAAGGCACGAAACCGAACAATGCACGGGAAATGGACGTCCAAGCGACGGCAAGCATCTGCTCCCAGAGAGCTGCCGCTTTAAGGCCCATCATTGGATCCGCCGCAGCCGCCGCCCGCCAGAGGGGCATGCGGCGACTGGTGCGCGTCCTGGGCGGGGGCCATTTCAAGCTGGTCGATCCGATTCGGTATCGATCCCAGCCGGCTCGATCCGCTTCGACACTGACATTCCGACGACCCGAGTCTCAGATCCTCAGCTTTTTCCCGCAGCTCTTGAGCTTGACCGACCCGTGCAAGGCCCGATCATTCGGGCCGAATTCGTGAATTGTCTCGCGAGGCCCGGATCCGAGGCTTGGCATCGCTCGGACGTGTGCATTTTTTTCTCGGCGAGGACCATCGAGGAGCATCTTTGATCATTTGGCGAAAAACCCACGCGCAAAACCGAAAAAAAACACAGGGAATTGACGTCCGAGCGATGGCCAGGAGGGCATCGTGCACGCGCCGACTGCCAGCCCCAGGCGCCCGCGGACGCGGCCAAGGCCAAGAAAGCCAGGAGACCGCCGCGGCCCCTCGGCGGCCGGCACCCGGCTGGCAGGCGGAGTCCACGGGGAGGTCGACGAGGAAGACGATAGCCCTTTTCGGGTACGGTGAAAACGACGCGAAGATCGGGACAAAATCGGATCGGGATAACTCGAAATCTCTGAGAATCGGCGGGTTTGGAGGATGTATTGGGCGCCGCGGCCGCTCCAGAGCGTTCCGGAACGCTCTGAGAGCGCTCCGGAACGCTCTGAAGCGATTCATCCCGATCCTAGCCCTGTTTTAGCCGTAGTTGGTGCTTTTCGGGTGGCGGCAATTCCGGTGAGTGGAACGGGTCCTGGGGGGCGCCCCCCAGTACACATCACTAAACCAGGTCCCACTAAGCCCAGTTCTGCCAAAGCCCGACTTTTCTCGACGAGGAGGTTGATGATGAAGATGAGAAGGTTGACGATAGCGAAAATCTGAACGGGCCTGGCTTCGTGCTCTGGGGCCCTCACGGGTCGTTCTGGTCGGAAGATGCCGCCGAAAGCATGGTGCGGGCGGGAATTGTTGTGTCGTGGTTTGTTGTACGGCGCTTGTTCTTTTCCGCCACGTCGGAGAAGGGAAGATGCGTGTGTGTGTGTGTGTGTGTGTGTGTGTGTGTGTGTGTGTGTGTGTGTGTGTGTGTGTGTGTTTGTGTGCGTATCTGTTTCTGTATCTGTTTCTGTATCCGTCTCTGTCTCTGTTTCTGTCTCTGTGCCTGTGTCTGTGTCTGTGTCTGTGTGGGGGGGGAAATGTTTTCAGCTGCGTTTGGGCGGTCTCCTGGGGGTCCCCAGTCGCCACAGCTGGATCCGCATCGAAGTCCTTTTCAGGATGCGCTCGAGGACGGCTCTAGGGGCCGATTCTGAGGAAGATGAGGGGAGATTTGTGGACGGAGGGGGGGAGAGTCTTACGGTCGATGTAAGTTACATTATATTGGCGTGGGAGGTCGTGATGTAAGGGGTCCTCGGGAGG